CCTCCTCATGCCAATATTTTGAAACTGGATAAAATCTCTCTACAGATCTCTCCCCCACAGGAACAGCTATACAGCGCAGCCCCGGCTCAGCAAGAAGTAGCTAGAGAGAAAGACTCGCCACCCTTAACACCCCCCTTTTCTATTATAACAAGGAGTTGGGAATATAAGGTCCCTGACAACCTTAGTCCCTGGCAACCCAAGTCCCAAACTCCCATTTTGGTAAGAGCAGTCACAGAAGCAGGAACTTAGCAACTGACACAGACAAACCACAAAGTGACCACAAGCCCCTGCCAAACCACAAATGATCCGGTGAGAACACCTGTGCCTGACTCAAGGAATGACAGTCTTGAACAGAACACAGAAAGAACAAACAAGATTGAACTCTTTATCTAGCTCCCTACTCCCTCTCCCATCCGTCTAAGCCCTATAAAAAACAGTCTCTACCTCTTTGGGGGTGGTGACTGCCCATTGAGCTTCACCCCCCCCTCCCAGGTGGTTTTCAGTAAACTTGTTTTTAACTCTCAACAAGCCTTGTGCATCTCTCCCTCGGCAAATCCCCTTAACACCTCCTTGCCTTAAGTAGCAAGCCACAACTTTATCTGAGCAGTTCTTAGAGAAACCTCGAGTGGAGAAGGGTTGCAATAACACAGGGAAAGGAAAAAAGAATGTGTTGTTTTCATTTTGGCTTTTTAATTGGATTGCTTGCTGAGGGTGTCCTGGGGTGACCCGTGACAGACGACCTCCAGAGTTTGTGTTTGAGTTTTGGAGCCTTTATTAGCTGGCCAGCGGCTACAGTTGCGGCGTCTCAGCCATGTAAGAGCTAAACTGCAGCCCTGACCCTCAGTTCTTCTCTCACTTTGTGCTCGGTAACCACAAAGGCACTGCAGTAAAGGGGTTTCCAATAATTTGTCAGGCTGTCAGCTTTTGGTACAGGAAACAAGGGCGGATCTTTAGCAACACAAAAGGAACGATTTAAACACAATGTCTTACAATGAGTAATGGGGTTATGCTTGGCGGGAGTGTGACTGGTTTGTTCTTTCTGGCGGTAATTATTGGGCTAGCTTGTTGGGCCTTGTCCTGTACAGTAGGGATCTTGTTCTACCTTTACTGTTAGTTCCTTATTCTTCTCGCCATGGTGGCCAGAACAAGGGTCTGAACAAAATCTTTGCTGGGTAAATGAGAGCCTAAACCCTCTTTAGCTTCAAAAGAGAAAGGACACTTGCATTTCTACCCCGAACATCCAATGGGGTCACTATAGTTGTTCAGACCCCCGAATCTGGAATAGAAGAGATGGGTACCAGGAGTTGTTCAGGATTGTAACAGAGAAGATCCTGGAAAAGGGGTGGGAGCCCAGGGAAGAAGGGCAGGGCACCCTGGAATGGGTGCACCTTGAAAGAGGGGCCCATGCATTGGAAAGTGTTGAGGTTTGGGTGGCGTCTGGCAAGCTCCCCTGGCCCTTGTGTATTCTTAAGTGCTTGAGGAAAAATTTCCTCTAGGGCATAAATCAGCCCTATATGGATAGCCTCTGCATTTGGCTCATCTGGAGACGTGCATGTAAGGTCTGTTGTCCCTAAAAGTGTGTTCAGACTCTGCAGATCTCAAAATAAACATGAGAAATGTTCCCTCCCAGGCCAACAAGACCGTCCACAGTCAGCCTCCCCTTTATAACTGTAGTAAGGCAGTTAATCGAGAGCAGAGTAGGAACATAGGCCAAGTGTGAAGGGTCACCCGGGTGCCTAGCAACTGGCAAAACTAGAAGCCCTTTGCACAGCCACTCCCTTAAGCATTAATCCTTGGAGATGACATCTAGGCCTCAGCTGTGTTTCAGCTCCAGGCCCAGAAAAACAGCAAAGCCAGCTGGAGTGACACCATGAATGACATCTGGACCAGCCTCAGGGACTACTGACCCCCTCCCCTGGTGCCAGTCAATCAGTGGAGACCATGACTGAGAATTCACACTGGGAAAGCTGATGACTCTATTGAGATCCTCTCCTGAGACTTCGATAAAAGCCCTCAGTACAGAGGACCCAGCTGTGGCTCTCTCTATCGAGCAAGCATCGCCTTTCCCCACCCCAACCTCCCAGGCACATTTTTCTTGCCTCTCTCTTTTTCCTAAGCTCCAAGGGCCCTTCTTTTGCCTCTGTAACTTGTTTCCTGAGCCCATTGCTTCTACAGCTCACTTCTTTCACCTCTGAGACTTTCTAAATAAATTTTCTCTTATAGTTTGAGTCTTGGCTCTGAATTCTCTCTTAGCCAGGACTCAAGTACTGAGGTTGCTGAACCAAGGTCTGGTCTGACTCCACTTGTCGATAATGCCTTAGTTATGTTAGCAACCGTTTTTCTGCTGCTAACATAACTAAGATGGCTAAGATGAGGATCCTTTGATACTTCTAAATTAATCTTTTGCATGCACAATTAGAAAAAGTTGGTTATAAAATTAGGCAGAATGAAAAGCATATTTAATTGGCCTCTCAAAACTTCAAAAAGAAGATTTAGATAAATAGATCCACCTATGATGTCATTTAGGTGTCAATCCAGTTCTTTGAAGTATTAAAAAATGGCTGTTCTTATTTTGAAAGGGGGAAGGTCATTTGGAATTTGACTTGTCAAGGAGAAATATAAATTGTAAATGCCTCAGGGCAAAAGTTGGATCTAATTGTTTTTTTATAAACTAGTGAGCTCTTCTCATGACTAAAAGGTCTCTGTGTCTCTCTGTATGTGTGTCTATATATATGTATACTGTAAATGTGAGATATCTTTCTGTCAACAGATGGTTTGTTAAAATTAATTTAAAGGCAAATGTTTGCTAGTAAGAAATGGATATTCTAAAATTCTTGTTAATATGAAAACTAGCCTAAATATTTTTTCAAGTTCTTGTGATCTAAGATTAATCATTAATAAATAAGGCTAGCTTAAGTTTGTTGGTTTAAGTAAAATAGACATGTCTTTATTTTGCCTGGGTTTTACAAAAGTAAGTTTATGTTAATAATTGACTTATGTTTCTGGAAAATGTTTCTAGAGGTTATAAAATGTCCAAGCAAAAGTATGCTATTTGACTTCTTGGTTTTCATTAGACATTGAGGTTTTAAGGGCTAAAATCTTAATATATGTAAGAATAACTTTGTAGTGTTTCAGAAGCTCCCTGGAACACCTCAAAAGATTTGAAACTTCGTGGGAAACATTGTAAAATAAGTGATGAAAACTTCTAAGGTATATTGTGTGGATAAACAATGGTTGTAAATTAAATGAATAGTCAGGGCTGTGGAAACCCAGGCACTTGGTTCATCCTTGGTCCCTGGCTCCCCATTTTTCGGTTTTTGCATTCCTTCACGCATCACAGTGCATTTGAGCTGGACTTAAATGAAGAACATTATGATCCAGCATTATTGAAAGCAGGCGTCTTACACTAATGCCAAGGTTTGATGGAGTCACTTCAAGAAAATGCCAAGTTGGTAGTCACTTTCTTTCACGATCAGCTCTCAGGGGACAAAGACATTAAAAATCATTTGGCTGCCACCTGGAGATTTTATTTATTGGAAAGGATATCAAATAAGACACTCTTATTGGAAGGGACCTTATCAGGTACCTAAGAGACTGCTGGAGGATGGAAGCTGCCGACACCAGGGGTAGACAGCTATCCCGAGACATTGACAAGGCTTGTATACCTACTATCTCATATTGAATTCAGAATCTATTTTGTTTAATTATCTCTGCCTGTCTGACATTAGTTATTGTAATAGTTATATTTGTCGTTGGGTTTTTCTATATAGTCTAGCTATTTATGATTACTGAACATGTATAATATAACTATTAATACTTTTTCCATGGCTTATGTAACTAGATGCCAAATACAGAAAAATGAGACAGAAGGCAAAATTCAGATCATGATAATTCAGAATAGAAATGATCCAGAGTGTTTTATTTGTAGTGAAGGCCATAAGACCCAACTACTTTCCACCTACCTGCCCTTCCTTTTTGGAAAAAATTCAACCTCAACTCAGATTCCATGATTATAGTATAGCCCCATGCCCAGTGGTCAACAAGACAATGTTGATACTGAAATTTCCTAGCCGTGAGCTTGCCTAGCGCTGTGAGACCACACTATGCAATCCAAAGGTTGGCCATCAATGCATTCTTTGGATTGATTTATCTCCAAAAGTGGGAGCTGTGGATGAAAAAAAGAGGTTCTATAGAAAGCAATTTCACAGGGTGATGTGTTGATAAATTCCTAACTGGGCAGGTCACAGTGAGTAGTCATGCCACATACCTTTAGTGAAAAGTTTTAATCCAGCCCTGTCCTTTGCTCTTAAGCATCTAGGTTAACACACCTTTGAAATACCAGAAGTAGTAACTCTCAAAGGGGGTATTAACTCTCAAGAGAGCACATATCTTTTTTAAAATTTTTATTTTATTTTTCTATTACCATTTATCCCCTCTATGCCCTCTCCCACTTCCACGTACCCTTCCTCCACCCCATCATTACCACACTGTTGTCCATGTTCATGAGTTCTCTCTCCTTTTTTTTCTTTTTTGCTCAATCCCTCCAACCCCACTACCCCCCCCCCC